TCAGTTGGACAACAAATGTGCAGGTCTATATCTTAATTTTCTACTGCTTTGCTATACTTGAATTGCGTCCGAATGAACCACATTTTAAATTAATCAACTAATCCCACCCAGCAATCCAGGACACTCGGTGAGAGAGGATGTGTTTAAAATTATTCCATAATAAAATCAGAATGTATTGGTTTTAATTTCAAGATTCGCATAATATGCCAATCTCACAATAATTGAACAGCAATTTATGAACGTTCTTTTTCCTTTTTTTTGCTCGATTTCTACGTTCATTTCTTTCTGTCCATTTTAGTTTTGGGACCACGTCAAACATGTTCTGTTTTTGATTGCTGGGGCAATTGTTATTTGATTAAAGTGTATGTGCACTGTACACCTCTAATGAACCAATACAAATAATGTAATTCAACAATAACGGCTTTTAGGTAAAATGTGCAACGATATTTTTTTAAGTAATCCTTATGTCAACAATATAATTGATAGTTAACATTTTGCCCGAGACCTTCAGAGACAAATGCTTAGTTTTTGTATATACTGTACTTGAAAACTCCGAAAGTCTGGAATACAAACCCGTTGTATTTTTAATAGATTTTTAAAGAGCGGACAAAACCCCGAACACTTCGATTTTCATGTTAAATTCGGTTTTGAAAATTACTTACTTTGATTTCCCCTTCTGAAATCTAATTAAATTATTCCGAGGAGGAATCGCAATGTTTATAGCTCGGTTTCCTGAACGAGCGCTGTCGGAGTACAGATACTACATGTAACCAATGGGAAATATGTCCAGGACACCGGGGTTAAACTCCTGCTCTCATCCGAAGGACGGCTCCTTTTTACAGTATGGTGTCCCCGTCATGCTACTGGTGCATTAGGACCCACAAAGACTGCAGGGTGAGGGCTCCCTACTGGTCCAACTAACACCTCTTCCTTAGCTTAGCTTTCCCAAGAGGCCTCCCTTCCAGGTACTAACCAGGCTCACACCTGATTAGCAGCAATGGGTTGCCAGTTGTGAGTTACAACGTGATATACTGTAGCTGCTGGCTATACCTATATGGCTAAACATATATATATATAAATGTTTTTCTTCGTTAGTCTTCGCAATTCTTATTCTTATTTATAGGTGCGTCTTTTTATGGCATATAGATCCGTTATGCGCGTTACTTAATTTTTACCACGTATGTAACTAGAAAGCAGAAAACGTTTGAAAGATGGGGTTAAAAATAATGTTTTGAAATCATATGATGTATCATGTGCAAGGAGACCTCAGCCTGTTTGCGGTCATATTAGTACTGTGTTGCTGTCAAACCCGAATTACCGAGTCAGTCACAAGAAACTGTTAATTTGAAAGGTGGCGTTTAGGCCCGGGTATTTACACGTTTAACGTGGATGTGAGAAACATTTATTTTTATTTGCTTTGCCAACACTGATTGTACCCATCGGTCATGCTAAAAAACACCTTGAATTGAATTGAATTGAGTTGAACAGCGCTTATTGCCCTACCGAAAAGTTCTGTTGTTTGCAAGAGGTAATTTATGTGGTGAGTCTGAACTTGGATGGTGCTTTTTTACAGTCTTCACTGCCATTACAGGATTAGAGGACTAATACTACTGTTAAAGCTTATGTTAAACTAAAAATCAACAATTTATAAGAAAGACAACGGAAGAGTGGAGAGGGCTATTTTTCTCAATTGTCGTCTTTCAGAATGCATATTTTGGTTTCACACAGATAACCGTCTTTACTTGGAATTGACAACCATCTCTTCGGGACTAAACAATCCTTAACCGTAATTCCATATCATTCTGAATTAGATCTATATTCTACATGGGTGTTGGTTTTAAAACCTAAAATAAGTAAACGCTGTGTTTTTTTTTTAGTTCAGATAAAAATAGTGAATCCCATCTTCAAAATCCAAAGGGATGATCCTACAGTATGTATTGTATATAAGACGCAACAAATTTTAAACGTTAACACTCGTTAACTCAGCAGGTGGCGCTGCATTCTAGTACAGTACAGTATCTAAACTAGTAATCCAATTTTTGTGGCATCGAGCTAGTCTGGGAACCCAACATTTTGCTTCAAAGCATTTTGCTACAAAGTGCTTTTTATCTCTCTTTCTTCAAGGAGATGACTGGGTTTTTATCATATTAACAAATGCTATGAATTAAAATCATGGTTAAGAAATCGTTAAGAAATCAAGACACACTAGTTGGCTTCTTAAAAACAGGTGATTCAGCTTGAAAAAAGGGTTCTTACTAACTCAGTGTATCAGTATTATTATTAGCACGTCATTTACATTTGTGTTACTAAGAGGAAATACAATTTCGGACTCACAATACAATAATAATGATTTACATTTCAACACGTTGTCTGTTGATATTAAAATAAAAAAATATCGTGTATATTTTTTTTAAATTCTGGTTGCTTTTTCAATGCCCTTTAACCTGTAAGTATAGAACGAGAGCGTCACACAGTTGTGAAATCATACAATATGATTTTGAAGTTACTTAACACTGATACTTAGATTATTTGAAATACTGTAGGTGACAAAAAGTAAATTTAATCCTGGACAAGCAGGAAATGTAATATTTAATGATGACGAAAAACAGCCGACAAGACTCGCAGCTGTAAAAATGATAGATTATTAAAAACATCATAACCTTGTTTTTTGTCCTCTTAAGGAATTTACTCCATTCAACTGAATTTCAGAAAGCGTTTACGTTTATGTTGAATCTGGCAGAAATATTTGTGTTAGCCAAAAATCAGTTGGAACTTGGTAAGAATACACTGACGTGCTCTAACAGCGTGGTGTCGTTTTATGCGTTGGCGTTTTATATTGTTAACATACAAACATATTAGTAACTGAAGTCCCTGTACCAATGCTTTATAATACCGTGGTAAATATTGACTCTAGAGAAAAGAGAATGTATATCGTATGTGATTCCCAAATTACGTTAAATATTTAATGCACAATTAAATATTTAATAACAAAATCCGTTGGAAAGAGAATAACATTATTTTCTGCTTTTAAAGTCGCTTACGGAAATTTTAGAACCATTCCAAATGACGCTTTCTTATTGTCACTTCACACGCTGATAATCTTGCTTCTTTGAAAAAAGTTTTTCTATTAACGTAATTTCCTAATGAATTATGTTACGTCTCAGTGAATCATACACAATTAACGGTGCCGCTTTGCATGAGATATATTGAAGACTTGTTGAAAAGGTTCTTGCGCATCTGTCACCTACACGACAATGGAATTTGGGATTCGGGTAGTTTAAGAAACATTTGTTTAATGTACAGTATGTGGCATATGCATTATATTAATATAAACTAGAGAAAGCGTCACCCTAACAGTCCACTAATCCCGTTGCGACGGTAAAAGGGTCCTGAAACTAGCCTCAATTTTGAATGAATGAATTTATTGATGGAGGGTTCAATAAATAAAAAATGTTTGTAAACATGTTGTCAGCTAGTTCATCATTTCGCCGATAAAACACCCATTCATTATTTAGCGTGCATTATCTGGTTTCGATAAGCACTTGCTTAAAGTCTGTATTCACTCTCAAACACTTACCTTCTGTCCATTGTGCCAAACCATAGTTTTTATATTAGAAAAGAGAGAAATGTTAAATCGATTTCCACTTTCTCAGAAAATAATGGCACTTTAAAAGATATACGCAGTGTGTGCGTGAGTTAAGTCCGCCACCTTTCCTTTTCATTTATTCCTTCTTCTTGGCAAAACAAAGGCAGCCTATAGAAAAGCGAAGTAATTCATATAAATTGAGAATGAAATGAACTGGTAATCAAAGTTCTTAAAGCAGTAGGTTATCTGAACTGCGTGTAGAAATATCCACACTAGAGTTCGGTGGAATTGGTTTTTAGTGTTGAATTTAGAAAGATTGGAAAACAGGTAAAATAACCATTTTGAAGATTTCGTTGAAATAATAAAAAATAGACACACCGTTAGATTAAATGGAACTAAACAACTAAATTGACACAAAAAACAGTTTCGAAAATCAGAAAATGACGGAATATATCACGTGAACTCAAATATCCATTATACAATCATATCAACGCTAACCTAAGCCGTATGTTAACAGTCTTGTTAAGAAATCTCGTGTTAGTAAGTTTATTTCCAATTATTGTTGAATTTGTAACATTTTAGTATAGAAAATGTGTTTATATCAGCTTAGTGTCCAGACTGTATACTGTATAATCTTCCAATGGAACGTTATTCGAACAGAGCCACAACATCGTTAATAACACATTTTGTCTTCTCAAGAGAACTTTGTTAATTAAACGACTTTATTATGTTTCTGTTCTATTTTTATATATGTGCGAATTTTAATTTTACTTCTAAATTCGCATAAAGGTGGTTTTATTTTATTCTGGAAATTTGACATCTGACAAAAATCTGAACAATAGCACGATAAATGATTCTCGATAAAACTGTTTTTCAATTGCCTTATAATAAGTTAAACGTGTAGCACGTTTCGTGGTAAATCACAGCAAACCTATATATGTATATTTCTATATGTCGTCTTAGCGGTTAGACGCTTGTCAGAGAGATGTGCCATAGGTATTTTAGTTAAAGATAAACCTCATTAACAATATTCAAACCTAACAAAAACAACGCGGACGATGATGGATGACAGGCTTGACAGTCATTGGCAATGGGATGAAGATGGGATAAAACATACCTTTAGTGTTCTGCGTCTTGACTTATTCTCCCCAACTGTCTGGTTGTCCAACTGCAGATTTTTTTCCGTTATTACTTTTGAAGGGATATCCTACCTCGGTCAGCAGTACAGACGTTGACTAATGGAAAAGGTACCACTGGCCTGATGGGTTAACATACAAAAGCAGTAACTCTTTAATATGTGCAAAAGGCCTTCAGACCCATGGCGTCCTTCTCGTAGTAAAATTTTATTGATGATCGTTGGAAAGTTATGGCGGCTCTAACGTTGTAAAATTCGTAATAAAACAGAAAGCAGTCATTAGTTCACCAGACATGTCTTTATTTATTTTTCGGCTGAACACTTGCTGCACAAAACAGAAATAGTAATACAATTAGGTTGTTATTGCTTTGTGACGCTTTACACAATTTTGTATTACAAATACTTCTCCAGACAAATTCTGAAATAAAGGAGGCAGACAAAGGGAGCGCTTGCACTGATTAAGTTGTTTAGTCACCGAATACAGGAACGAGGAAGGCTAAGCGTACACTCGCGCATTTCATTTTTTTTAGAAGAGTTAGGACAACCAGCAAAACAAAATTCGAAAGCAAATTCCGCCAACGACGTTTGATATGTGGCATTTATGTGGTGCGTGTAAGACCGTGTGTGCCAAACACCATGTTTAGCGATGAAAAGGAGGTTGTTTTAACCCATTAAGTCGAGTCTTTGAGGGAAACATTATTTAGAAACAATGTGGAAGTGCGTAGAAAATCGAGAACGGGGAGGCACTTCTTTACCCAAAGGGTTGTGGGAGTCTGGAACAAGCCACCAAGCCACATTGTTGAAGCCTGTACTCTGTCTTCTTTCAAGATCAGACCCTCGAATCAAACTACTAACCTCCAAAATTCTAGAAACAGATCAAGTAATTGTCCTGCGTTTTAATCTGTGTTCTTTTAAGGTGAAACACACCGATTTAAACTACTCCGTGATAATAGGTAAATACCACACGCTTTACCGACTGAGATTATTGAACCGATTTTCATCTCAATAAATTGTAGAGGCCCACTATTTCAACTAATGATTCCAAGTACGTTTACAATGATAATTGCTCAAAAGCGGTATTTCCACCTAATGTACGAGTTTAGTTTTGCATTATGCATATCCTAATGTGACGAAATTATCTGAATTACAGAAGATGAAATATTAAAGCACCTGGCCACAAGATTAATCTTCTTTTCTGAGACTGCGTACAGTTTTCAGTTAACTTCCAACAATACAAATACTCAGCCTAATTATGATGTTATACTGCTCTGTATTTATGTTAGGTGGATATGTATAAAGCTTTAATTTGTGTTTGTGACTTTCGAGCTAAAAGGTAAATGTGTATGTTTTCTAAAAAAAATCATAACGTAGTCTGTAAACGTATTACGTATCAAAAACAAATTTCAGACCAGAAAACAAAAACTGTAAAATATATTACTTTGTGTTCTTAGAAATGGTTTTATAAAATAAAAATAAACATTCCCCAGGAGAAACAAAAACGATTGTTCTAGTACCAATTAGTATAGTTACTAACTGTACTATTTGTTTAGCTAATTAGCACGACAGCCTTGACATAAATTAATTTAAGAAGAATTGCTTTGGAATATTCAGCTACTGTACTTCGACTATCTTTATTTTTGTTGCGAACGACGACGGGACACATTTTAAGTGAACGTATGACAATTTTATTTCCTTTCACTAAAAATCGAAATGCGAAATATTTCTAAACAGTATTTACGTTTTATATCATTTCCAGCAGACTCAGCAAATGAAAATTCAATTAAATTCAAAATACTATGTATTAACTTGTCTTGGAAAGGCTAAGCTTCGAATAAACTGGTTACCGTAATAATACACATTCCATGAAAAAAACAGGAAAACCCATATAGCTGAAAACCTTACTAATACAATTGTAATATACAAATAGTCAAACTTGTTCAATAAAATAAAATGACTAAAATGACTAAAACAGATTATAAACACACGCATACACAAGAAACAGCTGAATAATTGAACTTTGGGAAGTATAAAGAAACACTTATCTTTATTTTACTAATGTATAGTGTACATTTAAGCACCCACTTACAAGAATCTGACATTTTTCAATATTTATACAGGCGGTCGGACAGCAAAATTCACTTTTTTATCTGGAAAATTTAATCACTGCCAGAATCTCACATAGCACGGCTCCCTCGTGGGTAACAAAACCATTAATACTATCTTTGGTCAGTTGGCATTTATTCCGATATATTTACCCGTAAGGATTAATAATCAGCATGACTTCTAAGAGGCACGGGAATGAAACCTGTCTAACTGGCCTTGCGCGACTACTGCTGATTCTCTCTGTCATTTATATCGCTTTTTTCTTTATTTGATTTTGATAGTTATTGTTGTAAATAGTCTAATACAGCTAAAATAACATTCAGAATAACACGAAGGTCAATTTACTGTGAATTTACAAGATACAAATGTATTGATGCATTTTAGATGAAGACAGTGCTTTGGTCATATATTTGCATAAGCCTATCGTTGAATGTAATTGTAAGGCGACGTAAAATGTATACCTACGTAGATGTACTATAGTACAGTTCAAATGTATGAACGAACAGTTTACAGGCTGCAGTACCTTCATGTTATGACGAGGTCGCCATTTAGTTAAGAAATTACCTCTCTACGGTAGAAAAGAATACAAAAATGACATTTTAAAAAAATATATAAATGTCTTTATGAATGTAAACATTTCCCTTTTTAATATTACATCTGATCGTAACTTTATTAATTAAATTATTTTATAAATATTTTATTATTCAAATGCTACTGGTATATACAGCTGACATTTCGTATGTCTATTTAATGTTATTACATGTATTTTAAAGAGGCAGACTGGAAGAAAGAAAGAGTTTAGTGGTGTGGATACGATGTTACGTTACGTCGGCCTTACGCATGTGTGTGTCTGTCTTTCAGTTTACGGTGAAAATATGAACCTCCAATGTGCTCAAATCATCCTTATAATCTATAATATTATTTTCATTGCAAAGAGAAAAGAGCAGGGACTTTTCATATGCAAACGCTTTTATAATCTTATGTAACATCAGACTAGTCTACAATGATATATTCATTGTATAAAAGCGCAATTCACCGTTTGCAAGTGACCTTGTAATATTGAAATATCAATTCCAAGCTATTTGCCACAAACCACAAAACTGTGGCTTCAGATTAAACCGAACATGTTTTTTTTTTAAATAAAAATAAAACGCCTATCGTGAAATGTTAGAGAGGGAAATGCATTTTGTCGTTCAAAATGCATTTTGTAATTCGCATTGGAAACCATCCATTTTGTTTAAGGTAGTTGTTTTTCTAAGGCAATTGTCTATTCATGCAGTGAACACTTCTGTTATAAGAAACAGGACAGTAAGACTTCTGCGTGCTGAGATAGCATTCATTTTTTATTGTAGGCGGTGAAAATCCTTCAGAAGTTCACAAATAAGGTCACAAGGAACAAGGCGAATCCTGCCTTCAATTAAAATATATTTTATAGCTATGCTGTTTTTTTAAATTGCCTTTTTAAAGTGTCTTTTGGCAGCTTGATGAAACCGATCGGACCTTTTTTTGAGACTACACTGATGTATTTTCTATCGACCTAATTTTTTTTTAATTGTGTCATAGATGACACTCCATTTTTATTCGTGGTCTTATGTTTTTCAAGGCGATTTGCAGATGAAACGACAATACATTTTCACCAGCTGAAATATATAGATACCTCGTGCCTGAACGAAGTGTGACTTTGCTTTTACTTGAAGTGCCTATACTATATTTATATAACGATGAGGGTTTTAGCTCTTATTGAATTCTTTGTGAAGTCGAAATGCTGTTTCTAAAATGATTTCTTCTTCTTTCCCTCTTAAAAAGACAACTGTGCTCTTTCAGAATTTGTTGTAATCTCTTGTTGTCTCAAGGGAAGCCAAGAGCGATTAATTTCTTGTGGTTAAACAGAGTAACACCCTCTGGCTAGCTCGCGACTTCTCAGTATTTATCAAATATTTTAAGAGTGGAATATAATCACGGAAGTTTTTATAAAAATATTTCCCGTGTGGTGACTTACAGTATTAATTTAAGACTCGACATAATAAAATAATACAAATAATATTGATTACAGTCACTCATCCTGTGGTAAAATATTATTTCTATTTAAGTCGAATTATGGTGTCATAGAAAAAAGGGATGTGTTGCTGAAGAATAATGATAGGCATATAAAGACTAAATATAACTAATATATATTTTCTTGGGCTTGGGCAGCGTTAAGATTCCATATACATTCCATTCTACATAATTTGTTATTGTGTTCAGCAGACTTGTAGGCTGAATAATTCGATAATAAATCATTTTGCAGTCAGATTCCTTAGCTTTCTTAAACGGCGTTCATTTGAAATTGATAGCTGCGAATCGGTACCATCCTTGTAAATAAAAACAAGAAAGACAAGTATAAGTTAGTTCATTTGCATTGAGATGACAAGTGTAAACCCCCCTAAATCTACTTCAATGCTGAAAATGCCGCTCATTTAACGTGGCTGAAAAGCAATGTCAATTTGTACAGAGGACACCGCTGCTTAAGAGATCTCATTTAGCAAGTTTAAATGTGATTAAGACACCAGTTTACCCGGCTGTATTTATAAACTTGGGATCATTTGGCTTCTGCGATATATCCCAGACATGCACCTTTTGCACCTAGAATGACACTTTCTTGCATCTGTTCACTGTAAAATGAATGAAACGCACCTCTCTCTTCTTTCCAGCTACACCAGTAGAGGTGTCTGTGTACTGCTGTCTTTCGACTCCTCTCGAATAAGATCCCGCCCAAGGTAAATGTTTTGGTTGTTGATTCCCGGCAGTTCACACAGCTGTTTCTTTCACGAGTCCGCTTCTGTTGCTGAAAGACAAGGACGGTGGAGTTTCACAGCAAGCAAGACTTGCCCAGGAATCTGTACTCGGCTGACAATGGTCCTGCGATCATTTCTGTCCAGACGATCAACCGTTAATATTGTATAGAATTAACTACATCTACCTAAGAAGTACATGACAAGACCATCATCATCATCACCAAAACATTTTAACATTTTTTAAATCCCGCTGTGAGCGAGACTAATTAATACGATTCGAATTAAATATTTCTAGATGCTTTCCCGTAATTAAGTTTACTAAGTAAATACTTTATGTAATAATTAAAAAGGGAATTGATTCAATAAAATAAGTCACAAAAGTAGAAATGGTGCATTAAATCGCTTCATTTTAGAAATAAATACAAAACATAAGAAAAGCAAAACTTTTCCACTTCTATCAGAACACCTCACGCACAGATTGAGAAACATCTTGTTATTATCTAATACTCTTGATACTTAAGGAATGCATGCTTCTTGCTCATTACTAAATAAATATGCTGTAAATTGTATATATCGCTAACGTGCTGTTTTCTTGCATTTTTTAAAAAAGGTTTTCAATGTATTTCTCATTTTAATCTTGGCATGGAAGGAAAGCGATCTTAAGTATATAACCCACAGACGTAAAAACAAAATGACGTGCGAAAACGCGTTTTATGACATTCACGGAATCTATGTTTCATGCCTTGCTTGTATGTAACCAACAAGACAGCTTTATTGTCTTATTCATGATATTAAATATGGCCAGAGACACTAGATGTTTTGATCCCAGCTGAAATACACGCAATGCTGGAGATTTTCAATTATTTAAATCATTCTTAATAATTGTTTTATATTCTATTTTATTTTTTCGTATATTTGAAGTTAACTGACATTTATTTAACAACGTACCTACAGAATACGTAACGTTTTGTAACAAAAACCTAATTTTAGCCGAACCAGTTTGGGAAAATGTTAATTGCTCTGTGGTTAAGTTGGTATCTCCTGCCTACCCCCCATTCTTAATTTATATAGGGGTTCCCTTGTTTTGTGATGCTCAATTACTCTCCCAGATTTATACTCTTCCTTGAAAACATCTCTTAGAAGAAAAAAAAAGGAGAAAAGTGAAAGTAGAATTTGACCTATTAGAATTATAGTCGATTCAAAGTACCCCAGGACAGTGCATGTAGTTTTTTTCATAAATCAGCAAACCTGTCTCCCCAGCCTCCCGTCGCCAGAAGACGAAATATACGGTCAGTCCAAAAGCGTGGACGAATTAATTGCTCACAACCGCGACCACCAGGAAGACATGAATTAAATAATGTCAAATAAGTCATCCTTGATATCAAACCCTGAGTGTCCGGAATCGTTCGGCTGAGACCCCTACTCTCCTCTGGCTGACAGTGGATGTGACCTTTGTTATTCCAGCCCACACTAAGCACCTCAATGGAAACAAGTTGAGCACGTTCACTCCTGACAAACATTATCCTTGAGCCACTGGAGACCCAGACACAGAAAACGAGCTCTTCCGACAAGGATACATCAGGAACACACATTGAGAAAGAAAGCGAGAGGGATAACAGAGGAACAGAAATCAGGACTGCAGTCAAGTCAAGAGATCAGGTTAGGGAATCACTAGAATCAAAACATAAGAGGTGAAAGGCTTTGGGTGAAAAGACACATCTATAATTGTAAAAATAAAAACTCGGAAGTCACTGCAAGACATTGCTTAGAAATGAAAGCTAGCTACTCAGAAATATATAATATAGAACTAAACGTCATATATATATATGTGTGTGCATTATAACTTAGAATATAATGTATATAATAGGCCAATATATTGAAACTGCTAAACAGATAAGATCGGAGAAATATAAACATCTTCTGTATCCAGACCTAGAAAATGAAAGAAACATTATATATTCAAGAAATAACAAAGAAATTTGTTACATGAATCCATGAAGCAAGCGCAAATGTATATTCATATCCAGGCGTACGTTTATTCATATAAACAGCAATCGATGGTGCGTAAAAGGACTGAAGGCAGTTAAAATTCCGAAATTAAAAATTCGACAAAGCTGAGTATTGGTTCGTAGTGTGCACAGGAGTCGAACCAGTTCGAGACACTCCATTAATTGAGGCTTTTACACTGTTCAAACCAAGTTTTATCGAAAATAGATAGAAAGCCCCTACAAGATGCATTTTGGAATCTTTCACCTCATTGCTCCAAGCTTCAATTCTTTCTAACCTCCACGCTCAGTGGCAGAGACACAATATACAAAGGTAGTTTTACAATTGACAGAGTGTTTAGTTCGGTCAAGTAATGCATAAACGCACAGAAATATATCTTACATGCACGATTTAAATAGACCACAATTATCTAGAAAATGTTGCACACATTTCTACCACATTTGTTTTGGATCCCCAAAATGCCTCCTTTTGACCCTCTGTACTGTACCACGTGAACTCACTTTTGTAACTTAAAAGTCCTATATTTTAATTCAAATGAGAAAATATTTCGTTACCTGGAGGCCAGATAGTAAACGTTTCAGTCTGGATCAGGAACGAATATGCAGCTTAGTAATCGATGACTATTGAGAAAACACAAAACGAATATAAACAAAAAAAAAACACTATCAAGAGTTAAACAGGCATCTTGACATGGAGTTGTATTGCTCACAATATGAAACTGTATTCATCAGATGCATATACCAGCACAAATAAGTTTCCGAATTACTGCACTATTTAAAATATTGCTATTCTATATTTCTGTATTTCACACAAGCACTACGAATCTGAACAAGAAAACAAATAAGACGAAAGCCAAATCTTTATTGCATCTCTTGAGGTGTTTACATAATGGAAATTATATTTTAAAAGTATTCATGCAAAATCTGTTTTTATTCCTTTTCATAGGAAGTACAAGCTGTTTTCTAGTAATGTTAATATTCAGTACTAACTGAAACATTAGACTAATGCCCACGTTTTGTTTAATTTAAAATATAAAACAAAATAATTAAACAAACAAGAAAAAATATGCAGCGCTAATTTTTCAAACGATCCGATTGTACATTATTTGGCAATAAATCTTTTCGGTTGCCTGCATCTTTGAATTCACCTAACTCAGCTTAGTTTACATTTTATTTTATGACTGCAAACACTGGAGTCTGATGGGTGCCTAGTGTAGCACCGAAAGCACAGTTACCATCTTTCAAAAATAATAAGATCTACTTCAAAATACATGTAGACAACTCCATAATACAGGCTCACTGTCGTATAAAAGAACTGAGTCAATACCACATCAGGAAATATTTAATTGTTTTGATTTTTCTCAATAAAAATGTATGACATTTCTTTAGAATGTTTCGTTCAAAATAAACTTTCTCTGACTTCTGCGTAAATGAAATACTACGTCGCCGATGGCTTACGTATCTCCATGATCCAGTATTTTTACGATTTGTTTAGCCAACATGGAATGACAGTTTAAAACAACATTATAACGCGTTTCGTTGTTTGAGTAAACTTACCATCCCTACGTTGTAAAATATGGATTTGAATAGAGGTGGGAGATCTGGCCTGCCAGGTCGAAAAAGATCGAGGAACTCTTGCCACAGAGCTGCGTGTCATGTCAACTTCCCTGGCCAATAGTAACTCGATTGGTGTCAGACTCCAGCTTTTATTGGCTGCCTAGCAATGCCAGGGGAAAAAAGTTTTAAAAGTCCGGCCCATCTTTGTATTAGATTGAAATGTAAGCCAGTCGCCTCTCTCGTCAGGAAACAGATTCCGATTTTACCTCTCATGCTACAATCTTTATTGCTCTTCCAGTGGAAAAGCGACTTTGCTCTCTTATCACCAGCGTCCAGGAGAAAAGGATTCCTGGCCCCCTGTCCCATTGAAAAGCGTAATTTACAGAACTCTGTAGTTATTGGTGGACGAAACGCAATGGGTAAGTAAATTCACCGGGAAAGCTTAGCTGTCAATTGGGATCAAAGACGGATTCCAGCTTGCTTCGAACCAGGGGCATTTACAAAATCTCGTGAACCGTGCGCCAAGGGTCGTCAACACCAAGACCGAAATGCCTTTCATGAACGTTAACATAATATAGAGGAACTGTATTTGAAATATTATTTTGTAGTTTTGTATTCCCGTACGACAGATAAAAACGTCCACAATTTTGTTCTGTGATATCACTGTCCATTTTCTCCTATACATGTTTGCTTTCGCAGTATGGACACTGCAACTTTGCTTTTTTCCTTTGTCGTTGTTGTTTTCATCATTTTTTTTCATAGAATTATATCATATATCACTGAACATTCAATGCAATCATCTGCTTTGAAGACGCTTGCTACATTTTCACTTTAAACTAATAACACGTTGTGATGCTAGTTGTGGAATTAAATGTTTCCGAACCGAAAAATAAAATTTCTTTAAGTGCAGTATCTTCACAAATTTAAATCGTTGTTTTCAGTATACCTAGTAACGGTTGATTTGTTGATTCTAAATGTGGTTTTCTCTTTTTTTTGTCTCTCTCCCACAATCCAGAACCTGCCTTTGGGGAGGTAAATCAGTTAGGAGGCGTTTTTGTCAATGGCAGACCACTGCCTAATGCCATCCGCTTGAGAATCGTGGAACTTGCACAGCTGGGTATCAGGCCTTGTGACATCAGTAGACAGCTCCGGGTTTCTCACGGTTGTGTCAGCAAGATTCTGGCCCGATACAACGAAACTGGCTCCATATTACCGGGAGCCATCGGAGGAAGTAAGCCGCGCGTCACTACCCCTACTGTGGTCAAACACATAAGGACCTACAAGCAAAGGGACCCTGGTATTTTCGCATGGGAAATTCGAGACAGACTTCTGGCAGATGGGGTGTGTGACAAATTCAATCTCCCTTCTGTTAGCTCGATCAGCCGGATCCTCCGCAACAAGATTGGGAATCTGTCTCAACAGAACCAGTACGAGTCCACTAAGCAGGCGCCGCACCCTCCTCCACAGCCGACTCTGCCCTATAACCACATCTACTCGTACCCTACTCCAATTGCTGCAACCGGGGCTAAAGTGCCTACTCCGCCCGGAGTTCCAGCCATCCCCGGACACATGGCTATGCACAGGATATGGCCCTCCTCGCATTCCGTCACCGATATTCTGGGCATCAGATCAATCACAGAGCAACAAAGTAAGCCATTCATTGTGTGGTCTAGCATAAACTGCATGCTAAGTACTATCACAATACAAGACAGCCTTGATTCTTCTTATCTCGTATCAGTGAAATGTGTAGTCCAAGTTTTAGTCTTCTGTTTTGGGTTTCTATTTTAGATACACGACAGCTTCTAAATTAATTCAGAATTTGTCGTAAACGAACTAATAATTATCCTTAGCAGCTTCTGTAGCAGCTAGAAAATTATGCTACATAAAATACACGGCTATACCTTGCACTTTTACAAGTACTGGTGCTGTTGTGATGTTACGGGATCCTGAATGGAACAAATTGTGGAAATTAATCGTTTTTACGCTGCGTGTTATTTCAAAGCTAAGCGCTCAAGTAACATAACTATAGTTCAAGCAGTTACATTAAAACAGATGGTTTAGGGCTTGACGTTATAATTAAGGAGCGGATGTAGAATATTAGTACCGGTACAAGGAAGGATAGGCGCATAGATTAGATTCTCTTAACATTGGAATAAGGTGTTCAAATATCGCTTGTAGTTGTAGCTGAGATACAGTTCAAAGTAAACTTAGCCTTCCATTTTTACCGTCCGGAACGCGTGCCTGTTCAGTTATAACAATTATTTTCGGTGTATTATGTGTTTACTAGATTTCTCACGCATTCATCGATGTGTGTGTAGCTGCCTGTGCTTCCCTTTTCCATTTTCTTGCTCATAAGAAGGGAGCACATTTGTTTGGAATTAGGAATGAAAGTATTTTAGACTTTGGCACGCGCTTATTGTCACAGCCATATTCCATAATTTTAAAAATAACCTAAATAAAATAAAACGCCATAGTAGCAGATGGACAATTTTTTGTTGAGGCAGAAGACATTTACAGAAGCAGCAAAACATGAACGCCACGACAACTTTGTTTTTACAGACGAACCAAAATTAAATTCAGGGAGATTTGATAAAGCTGACTTGCCTATCTATGATGTGTATTTCACGTATTCTTTAAGTTGTGTCATGTATACCTATTGATTGGTAATACGTCTGTCTTAAATGCTGTATGTTGTCAGAAAACATTGACTACATAGTGCTGATAGCTGCCCCATTTTTTAAAGTAATATGAGACCTCGACTTCAGACTTTCTAGCCTAGGCATAGCTGTACTAAATTATTTAAAAGCGACGCAGATTCGAACTGAACAAGATATACGGAAAAATACATTCTCAAAGGGTGTTTTTACAAACAACTCTTGCATTTCCAAATGATTTGCAGATGTTTGTGGCAGATTTTGAAAGCCGAAATAAACTGTACTCTACCTTCAACAAAGCGAACCATTTTTAGCACTTCCGTGAAAGTTCTACGATAGATATGTTTTGATTTTCTAATAAAATTTCAATCTAAATAATAACGAGAATTTTGAATTTAGAGATTTCTTATATATCAATTTCTCTATAAAATTGGGCATTACATTCGTTGATCCAAAATGTCAAGCTTCAGTGCTGTAATGGGCTTTTTAACACTTTTTAATAACACGCCTACATAATTTATAGCTTCAAAATGCATTACTGCTACAAACGTCTACTGCTTTGTATCAGTTTTAAATTCCTCATTTATACTAATCTAAGCGGACATACAAAATAAGCCTAACTTAGTAGTAGTCTTTTTTTGAAGGAAAGCTAATGTAGGCCTTATCTAGGCGACCTTTTTAGAATGAACGAGGAATTTTGTTTTTTTTACACATAGACTAATTTGTGTGTACATATGTTGAGACTACCTTGCTCTGTAAATTCATATTTAAACAATATTTTCCAGTTTCAAGCAGGGATACATGAAACTCCAGGTGCTTCCATTTCTACAAAGTTAATTAGAGTTCTAAGAAATATTTTACTGTATACACGCAGGCTACTATAATTTAATGGAATGAAGATGTTCACTGCATGACCATATCCTTTTGACCTGTTGTTTTAAAGCATGTTAAGTGTTTATTTTTATTTTAACCGTTTTAATTCTAGCAGTTCATGTTCGAAATTTGTATCAATAAAATCTCGAATCACTCCCATTTCTGTTATCTCCGTAAAAAAATAATTTTGTATATTTTCGTAATTCAAGCTAGTCTAAAATAGAAACAGTTTATCTGTTTGTTCAAATAGACGAGTCAAGCGGATATCAATTTTTCGTAAACCTATGGCATTAGGAATATATATATATATCTGCAGGACCTCTCCTGTTGAATTCTCATTGTGAGCGATCATTTTAAATTAAATTGTCAAAGGTACGCGTCTGTTTTTGTACATTTGTTTAATTGTTACACATGGAAATTAAAACTTAAAAAAGTGTCCTTTTTAGAAAATAGACATAAATGGACTAAGAATCATACTACTAATCCCTAAATTTGCTGTGTTCAGATTTGATGTGCAAATCTCCTCAGTTCTGGTATTTTACTGATACCCTCTCCTATGTCTCTCCGTGTGCTTTGCCTTCAGTTAGTGACAGTTCCTCCTATCCCAGTGCCAAAGTAGAAGATTGGAACACACTAAACAGGACTAATTTTCAGCCGCCAACCTCGCCTGTACTCAATGGCCTGGATAAAGCTCACTTAGAACAAGAAGCAAAATACACACAGGTAAAAGCCCACAACTACTCCATTTATATATAAATTACTCTGTATTTATCGTCTAGTGAAGTAGCTCCAGAACTCGGAATTGCAGATTCACTTCAGACCAAAACTTCAAATGTGTGCGTGAAACTGATGAAACTTAAGTTTTTCTTGATAGTCTGTTAAAATGTTTTCAGCTAATGCTCAATTTAAAGTAGCACTTGTGTGGTTGTATGGTAATCTTATCTATAATGTGAATGTTCATTACGTGAGTACGTTTGTGTCAGTTTGTATGTGTGTAGGCCTCGAAGATAAGTTTTGTTATCTTGGTGTTTATTTTTTGCTCACAAAAAAAGTTAGTAAGTAACACAAAAAATAAAGTTACGAATGAGATAGTGATTAGACTCGAATAATTAATAGTTTATTTATATATCTTAAACTATTCATTGTGATCACAAAATGTCTCACTCACTCCGTTAAGGATTACTGAACATTTACTGTATGGAACATGACAGCTAATAAGCTGTCACAGAGGAGTCATGATTAGTCGAAATGTTTTTTTCCCCTCAGTATAGGACGGGAAATACCCACTAAAAAACGAGTGTAGCCAACAGGTAAGTGTAAAAGCAGTGGAGCGGTTTTCGAGTGTAGTGAGGTGGTGTAGTGAGGCCTCTAACCTGTTCTGACGATTCACAGCAACTCAAGAGGAACTGTCTCTAACTGCCTTAATAGTGCCGCCGTGTGTAGTCAATCAATAAGAAGGTGAATTTCTGAATCCACGTGAAACGCAACGAGATCGCAGCAACAATTGTCTGCGACAAACTGTATTGTCGACGTGTATGCGTTAATAGCCTAACAGCAGTTCGAGATACCGAGATCCATGCATTTTGTTTGTGGGCTATTAGATTAGAAAATAAAAATAAAATAACAGTGTGGGCAATACTCCAATTATCACAGAAACGCACACCTTAGCCCACTAAGAGAAAAAAAGAGGATAAAAAAAAACCTTGTTTGGAAACACGAAATCACGTAACATTCGATTTTAATTACATTAATATAAGGTAGTTATGGTATTAAACTATTTGTATAATACAGAAAATGTTTATCATAAATAATTAAAAAACAAGTAAAGAAAATATAGACGACTGAAAATCACACATAATTACTCTAGAAACTACTGTATTTACGACGGATGCCATTTTAAGTTCGGAGTGATGAAATTAAAGCTTCCCTTTAAATGAGTTTCCTAAAGGATATTGCTTAAATAAAGATCTACACTGCAATTTATGTTATTTAAACAGGTAACAGTAGCAATCAACGGATTTATTCATACATCAATTACCTTAGCCTACATGTTTATATGTTTCTAACATTTTAATAAGATCTTCATTTATTTCGTTAAATGTGTACTACCCTAAACTTTTAAACTAATAAAATAAACAGTAGGTCATAGTTTCGAAGACGATTCTAAAAAAAATAAATTGATAAATAATCACAATAATACCAATTAAGAATCACTAAATTTTTTATATAAATACATTAATCTGATACCCGGTCTTTATCAAAATGAGACAACGTAAATCTTATATACGCACACTAGGACTGTGAAAGCAATAGACAAATGCGTATATATTTTTTAAACATAGAACGTATCTTGACATTTAGATATGATTATGGTAAACCAATTAACGGACTTGTTTAAATCCTGTTTTGTGTATTAGACAAATGCGTCTCTACAAAGACGTTCATAAGATAAGAATCTTTTCAAACAAGGGCAAACTAATGAGCTAAAACACAATATGGTATTCTTTCGACCTAAGCGTGTTTCAAAAATGAAATGTTTTAGCTACAGAATTGCATATAACACATTTTTTAAATATGACGTGTAGTATGTCGTCTAGCCTATATCAACATTAAAACTATCACAGAATAATACACACAATACTCGTGTGTATTACACAACAATACTCATACGAGACAAATGTCTTTTTAAAAGTCTTTTTAATACAATAATAAACCTTTACTGTTCAAGAATTAGTACATGTCTTTGATGTACCTTATTGATATAAAGTTACAATTGACTGAATGAGAAATAGCTCATTTTAGGGTATAACCGGGATAACCCCAAAATAACGTTCTTTTTATTATCTGCTACTGGTCTATTTGTTGTCCATTCTGTACTGTGTACAGCCTTTAATGTAATTAAAGTTTATTTGATAAAGGTTTATAGATATCAGGCGTCAGAAATATTTCGTAGCGCATGTACTGACATCTATAATTGGATTGTTTACCCAAATATGTGGTGTTCGAGGAAACAGGGTTTGTGTAATCTCGAGAGTTAATAGTTTAAGGTGAAGCAACGTGTTTCGTAGGTGTTACTGAGGACCGTGAAGTCTAGACTTAGACTAGGAGGAAATCATCCTGACACCGAACGCAATTGGTTTTTTATCCTTTCAGTTTTGTTCCGCTTTTCCATTGTTTTTAACCGATTCACTTTTGTAGTAAAGTATTATTCTATGTTCCTGTCTTAATTCAGTGTTATGCACAGAAATTGCAAGAAACAAAAACACACAAAACAGCGTTTTTTGCAGTGTTGTGAGACAGAGATCCATACTTACTGTAAATGTACGGATTCCTGTTAGTTTCTACAATACAACCATAAATGCGTTGCTGTAATATTTCTGTTATTTCTTACCTACCGTTTAGTTACTTGTTCGTCTATCATAAATGATCAAATGCTTAATATGGCAGATCTCATTAAACGTTGTCATTTATTATTTACAGACCAATATAGAATTCCCGTGTTGTCATATTTCAGCCACAGCCACGCTTTAACTCCTTCTCATCTAACTTTCGCGTTATTAGCGTTATTATCTCCCTCACATTACTTAAAAGATTAGGATACAATCATGCACTAACTTAAGTTTTAATGTGTAACACTGCCACTTTAAAGTCCTACAATTAAGGTCAATTTACTTCACGTGCTGCAGTTGAATTTCACGGCCAAATGTTTATACATTGTTTTAAATAATAATAACGCTAATTTTCTAATACAATAAAACAATAAACCACCGTAAATCGCAGTACTGAAACCATAGCTCGGGACGTGTCTTTCAACACCTCAGTTACACTGACAGCTGAGTCACAGTTCTTACTGAACTGGCATAACTTCCGATAGGCAGCAACTGAGATTGATAACATGCATGATGGCCAGACTTATCTATACCTTTTGCTCGTTAGTAGACCTTTGGCAGGACGTTGCGAAATCTTCGTTTTTTAACCTTTAAAAATAACATGAAGGAGACACTAAACATATTAAAACTACATTCACTCTGCTTCAGCTAAATTTAGCTAAAATCCAATTGATGTATAGGGCCTGGTTTGGCGGTGACGAGTTTTCATTTTTTTCCCTGTTGATGGTTTTTAGGATAGCAGCTTCATTCTAATGGCATTTTCTATTAAATTTGTTTTGGAAAATAAATGTATGTGCCAGGGACCGAGTAGCTATCGCGCAGTCCAAAATTCATACTGCAGACATAAAGCAAGTCGGTTTTTACTTCAATTGTCAATTACATGCTTTTCCAATTCGTGCCTGGTGCTGGTTTCTCATTCAACATGTAGATTACTTATCCCAAGAGACTCCATATGCTGCAGTGATTTATGGGTCCCATTCTGAATTCACAATTAAATCATGGCTGTTAATGAGTTTCCTACCTGGAGTTCACAGTGAGTTGCTTATGTTGCTGGGAGACGCTTTAATTATTTTGCTGTTTTGTTTTTGTTGAAGGCTTCCTGAGCCGGTTCTGAAGAACGAAAATCCAACATGGACAGGAGCATTAGTTATTTTTTTTCTGAAGCATGTACTGTAAGCTATATTGTAAAAGCTGAAAGCATGATGAACAAACCCAGCGCTGTACACCGATTCAAAGCTAAACGCCGACACTAAAACGCATATTGCTTGCCATTACGTAAAATGTTTATGAAATTCCAAAACGCTCTAGCTTTTTAAAAAACGTTTTAGGGGCGGCTCAGAGGGTACAAGTTCGTTTTTCTTCGGATGACGAATAGACTAAATAAATCAGCCTGAAATAGGTCAATCTTTCTCTTCAAACCAAGCTCAGTAATAATGATACACGGCCCATTAGTTAACACAACATATTAGATTTTAGATACATTTACGGGCGCTTTTGCAATGTTTGGATATTGTTATACCAGTAGGGAGTAAGCTAGTGGATAAAGTAATCTATTAAACTGGGTGATGCTCTCGGGTGGACAGTATTCCCCCTCCTGTTGCGACTCCAGTACTACCGAAGCTATGCTGAGCGCTTTTTATAAATCAATGAATGGTCATTTGCTGAATAAGGTAAACTAGACTTTCTTAACTGTGATCTTAATATTTAAAATTAAGGCACAAACTCAGAAGGGGAAGTAGGCCTAATTTCTACATGGCGTGCAGTTAAACACGTCTCGAATAAACAACTGCAAGTCATTACGAACAGTTGTACTGATAATAATTGTAATGCCCATGTCTAAACATCTAGATGTAAGTTATTTTTCATCCTTTGTACGAAAAATGGTTTAAGGTTTAATCTCATCGAAAACAGGCTTTCAGAAAAATAAAGCCGCGAATGACAAATTACTGAAAACACCTTGTTCATAATTTGAGGCAATAGCAAATCATATAGCAATTCCACATATTTAACGTATTATAATACGTAAACACATTTAAATGCCTTTACATATTACATTAGGAAAATACACCAACTATTGTTCAGCTCATCATTCACCATTATTTACGATACAAATAGGTTTATGGACTATATTTCCCAGAAGATAACGAGGTAATGGTCTAAACATTAAGTCTGACCTTCCATGTCATAGCTGAAAGTCTGGAGCCGGTGATAAACCATCCGTGAGAGTGCACAATTTTAAAGTGTACACAAGGAGTCATACTTCGGATGTCACAAATATATAGTCTGCGCAACACACTGCCCTTTTTTAATATAATCCACTCCCGTGAAAACAGCTTGATTACTTAATAGCAAATATAAAATAAAATAACCGTCAAGATGGCCCAGAACGCCGAGAATGTCTCGTCAAGAACAACTGCCTGACTAAAACAGAAACTGGGAGCTGTTAGCCAGCTAAGGTCAAAATTTAATTTCACTAAGCAGCAGTGTTACTGTCCAACAAAAGCGGAAGACTAGGCAAATATCACCAAAGTCTGTAAGACACAAGATGTGTTTTTTTTTTTGCTCAAGCTCGGGGCAATTGTAATACTGTTATAATTTTCTAATTATCACGCAAGCAAGCAAAGATTCTTTCATTTAAGTTAATTTAATTTAATTCAATTTCCGACATGATTTGAATACCGCCTACATCTAAAGTTAATACTTTCCGGTATTGTCTTAGAAGAAGAAAAAGCAGAAGAATAAGATGACTTTGTATAGCCTATGTACAGTATGTGTCTTTAGCAGGTTATCTGATACATTAAAATCCCAGTCGGTCTTTCATGTTTTAGCAACCTACACATTATAGTCAAGTTAACATATGAAGTGAAATGAATGACCATAAAGTGTCTCTTTATTCAAGAGAAGCCTACTTCCTATCTGCTTCCTATGGAGTGTCCAATTACATTTATAACAATCGAGAAATACAAATAGATAATTTAGGAGGGCTTATCAATAGGCCCACATTTTACACAACGGCTCTTCGAGTATAAACAACACCATAGATTTGCCAACATAAATTACACTAATATATGCAGCATTGTTACTTCTGAAACAAAGTAACATTTACGTCACTAAATTTCAAAGAATGTATTAAAAAAACAGCAATGTAGTTTTAATTTGAAGAACTTCAACGATTCGTAAGCTTTTCTTAAGACTCATAAAACTATTTTCTGAAAGCCTGTTCTCCTACATTTGAACGCCCTCAAAGTGAAAATAAAAAATGCATACTGTAGGATGGGTTACGATTGTTATCCTAACAGTACATATCTGTAAATCGATATTATATTTCTGATGCTCTGAATTATGTTATGCTTCATAAGAAAACAAAGTACTGCGGAGTACTGGGGGATGCATCTAATCTCTTTTCACAGCATCGAATTAGAATGGAAAAGAAAATTAAAACGAACTTGAAATAAAATTGAATTAAATAATTTTTATTATTTTTGATTTGTCATACGTAGAAGGGGGCGACGTGGAAGAGATTCAATGCAAATATGGATTAATAAAAATTTGTTTATGGATTTTTTTTCTGCCTTAAATATACTGCCTCACCATGGAACAGGGCAGTTGGTATCCTGTTCAATCACCAAAAGATGTCTGAGGAAATTGACAAAATGACACTAGATTTTGCATGTTAGTTCCTAATAAGGAGGACAAATTATTGATTAATCTTGCATTCTAAAAATATAATACTTATAACAGCCAAATTATCTTTTATGTCATTATTGTTTAACTAAACCAGACTTATATATGTTAAACATTAGCATATATTATGTCAAATATGTATAAATGCTTCTAATATTACTGAAAGGGTGCTGGCCTAGCATAATATGGCACAAAGCATTTGGTTTTGCTCCATAAAGTAAAATAAGACTCCATACTTTGATCAATGGAAAACAAAATACAGTTAAAGTACAGGCATTATGCCAAAACAGAAGCAATATCCATCCCTTGGAGTATCTATTCCCCAGAAACTGAAGAGTGTCTCTAATAGAAACTATCTTCAATAGCTTCGCTAAGTCATAGGCCACCCAAGATATTTTTTTTTCAGGCAATGTTAAGTTCTTATGCATTGTCACTCTGCCAGAAGTCAGTCTGCATGTCTCACAAGCCCTCTCTCTCTCTCCTTTTCTGTCAGGCGCCGAATGGATTGCCCACAGCGAACAGCTTTGTCTCAGCACCCAGCATGGCTCCCTACCACCCACCCACCCAAGTGTCACCTTACATGGCGTACAGCGCCACCACGTCGGGCTATGTGACAGGCCACACGTGGCAGCACCCCAGTGGCAGTGCCCTCTCTCCCCACAACTGTGACATCCCCGCACCCCTTCCCTTCAAGAGCATGCCCAGTGCCAGGGAGAGCAGCCACCCGGTCACAGCCTCCGTGCTCTAACGCGACGCCCGGCCCGAAGGCAGAGCTCGGAGCGCACAGGGTGCAGAGAGCGCACAGAAGAGCACACTGCAAGCCCAGTGCTTCCCTTCTCTGCTCTCCGACTGCTCACCCCATGGAACTTTTTGGGGGAACTTCCAGAAGCTTCTCATATCTTACATATACCCCATCCAGCTGCATAAGGACCTGCCAAAGGCCAATATCTTTTTCTTTTAGAAAAGATTTCTGCTCCTCCATTCCTCCCCTTCCTTTCCACAAGAAGGAGAAGCATGGAGTTTAACATCCTGTGCATTCCAGCACTGGCCATTACTGAGCACCTAATGGAACATGCTAACTCTAGAAGATATGACCCAGGTGGCCAAACAACCCTGCTGTTTTAAAGCATTAATTTATACAAAACACAGCCCATGGGGCTGAAGGCAAAGACATAATTTCCTTCTAATCTAGTTGTTAAGTCATTCAGTATATCTAGGAAAATGCAAGTCCTTTTTTTCTACTTGTTCATGTGCACTTCTGCCAATTTTGTCAAATGGCATTCTGCAACCTAAAATAAATAAAACATTTTTATATATTATGGTAATTTCAGTTTGCATACAAACTATTTCAGGGTCTTATTTTTTAACATTATCATTATTGTTTTTTTTATCTTATGCTCCTTGAATATGAAAGCGATTTTCTCCCCACTAAATAATCTTAAGAACGTCTAAAAGAAGATTCTTCAAAGTGGGTTATCAGTTAACATTAATCAATAACAAAATAAGATTTTTTGTAACTTTGGCCAGATCACCTTTATTTATTACAGACAGGAGAGTACGTTGAGCAAAAAGTGTAATTAGGGTTAAGTAACATGAAATGTGTTTTAACTACAGTATGGAAATTCTCTCCATTAAAATGGAGGCAGACCAAATGTTTTTTTTCATGATGTGTGTATAATGAATTTTAAAGATTAGCTGTGCAAACTCAAACTTTGTACAATAAATCTGAATGCATCATAGATAAACAAAGTAGCTCTTTAGGGTAATAAGGCCCAATTTTAAGTGTACATGGGTGTCACATAATAAATAACACTTCAAAAGTGTGACAAAACCTGTACCTGAAAGTGAATAATGCATGTTTGATTATAAACACCACTAAAAATGCCATTCTACTGCAACTGTTATCCATACTGTTTTAAAACAACTACTTAAAATTGACCTTGATCAAAAATGTCAGGATATACAGAATTAATCAAAAGTAAAAAAAGCAACATGTTCTATTTATGTCTGAAAGGAGTGGTGTAATTGTGAAGACTGTTGAGTGGAAGAAACTACAATGGTCCTTTCTGAAATCAAAGCTGTACTTGACTGACGATAAAGCTTTATTATTAGATATATTATTATGTATCTTGTGTTTTTTGTAAATACAAAGAACCAGATTTATTTTTCTAAACTGCTGTTGCGTGTTTGCTTTTGTTTCTCATGCCTTCTCCTTCACCTTTAGATTCTGACACAATGGTGGGCTGACAGGTGGGCTCTCCACCCAACCTTGGCACGTCCGTTTAGATCTTGATCTTCAAAGAAAGGTTTTTTTTTTCACGAGGGCAGGGCAATCAGCAATGGGGCAATTCACTCTCTGTAAAAGAAAGAAGCTTCACATACCCAACATTTCACATCGATTTACACTTATGTCTATATATGTCTGTATGATGAATAAACAAAACACAACACCCAGATCTAAAAAAATTAATCAAATATCCTAAGCATAGATATTAAAACAAAATCAGAGTAGAGAATCAAGGTGGATTTTTTAGAATGGAAAGTGCCATACTTGTCCTTAGCACTAACACAATCCTGTGAACACTGATGCACAGACTTATTGAGTTTCATAGGCTGGCCAGATGGGGTTGTCTTATGTTAATGGTATTGGTGAGGTGGTTTGACAGATGTTCTACTCAGCAGAGATCAGGAGAAAATGCTGCCCATGGCACAATCTCAACATTGCTTTTGTTAAAGTCTTGCTATTGTGATCCATATTGTGGCACTGTATGGTCTTCTCTTCCTGGAAAAATGGTAATTCCAGGGTGGCTTGCTTGAACTGAAAAACTTTGGCTGAAGAAGTTTTGCTAAATATTAAGACTGTTATAAGACAATAAGACAATGTGCAGCGAAGGAGTTAAAGGAGATTAGAGCTGTTGATTTATACAGTTCTTCAAGATTCAAGGTTCCGGGTTTGATTTGGACCTTGTGCCTCTCTCTGTATGGAGATAACTTGTATAGAGTGCTCCCTGTGTTCATGTGGGTTTTCACCTAGTGCTTCCATTTCCTCCCACTTCCCTGAAGACATACTGGATAAGTTTGATGGTTTATTCTAAATGCATAATTTTTCATCCATCATATGGCATCCATTCAAAGGGCAGAGGAATTCCGTGCTTTCAGCCCTATACGTCTGGGATAAAACCCCAAATGGCTGTAGCCCTCATCAGGTTAAGCAGCCTTCTGATGATGAATGGCGACTGTGATTAGAGATTTTACAAGATTTTAAAATGAGCACACAGGACTCTGACTGATCCCCACAACTTCTACATCCATAATTATCAAGAGTTTTCATAGGCTCCTGTGCTCTTTGTTCAGACATGCATGTTTGGTTTTCTGCTGTATATTCTGTTCTTGGTGTTGTGTCCGGTGAAGCTCTATAAAATCTGTAAAGACTTCACATTTTGATGTGGCAGGGCATGGTCTCTACTGAATTTACAAAAATCTAATGCAGATAAACCAATTAAACTAATTTCAAGCGAGAACAATCAATTACAAATACATTTATAAAATTTAGTTCTTTAAGACATCACTACAGACATTTACTATATACAGTATATATAGTAGACTACTTAATACCACAAAAATGTGTTGCCTAGTGTAAAATTAACGTTGTTACTAATGCTTTTCTGGGTTGTACAAAATACTGAGTCTAAAGGGAATGCAGACAAGTTGATACTCCTCCAACAGCTTACCAGACTATTTTTTTTTCCTTAAAGCACTTAAAGTCTGTTCAGTGCTTAAAATATTTGGTCTCACAAAATGTTTCATAATGTAAAAAGACAATGGGAAACTGCTTTCAGCTTTCCACAGTTCATCATTCTCCCAATAGGACAAAACAGATCCATGACTCAAGATACGCTAAAACGTTTTGTCACTTCTGTCTTACTTGCTAGTCATTTGATACTTTGTATTCACTGTGGTGATATATGTACACCTTTTGTCTTCTCTGTTCTTCCTTGCAGGTGATTCCTTGTTTTAAAATTGATGTATTTTTGCTGAAGGTTAAATCACATTTAAAAAACAACAATTTTGGATTACCTGGTGTACCTATGCTGAAATATGTTTGGTCCTTTTTCCATAAAGTGAGGTACTTGTACATTCCTCTCTGGGTGTCCATGTACAGTCCAGATGTGCAAGATGTCTATGTGATAGCCTAGGCTAAACATTAGACGTTATAACCAAAGAAATATATTCTAGGTGGCTTTTAAAATAACCTACAAAGAAAAAATGATTAAACAATTTGCTTTACATAGAATTTAAACAGGAAACACCTTTCTAATGTTTTGATACTTATGCAAATGCAGATGTTGGGTGTGTGGGACATAACATTATTTCATTGGGCATTATTTTGATATTCCTCACAGGAAGCATTTGATAGCTCCACTAGAACCAACTTCTATTATTAAAGGACCAAAAGCAAGGAATATAATTTAAAATGATAAAAGAGGCCCTTCACAATCACTTGATAATCTGAGCTATGGATAAACATTATTATTTCTTTCAGTGTAGCTCAATCTGAAATATATTTGCATGGGGATTTGACGTATGTGCTTGGGGTAACTGTATACTCTTAAAATATGTCAAAAATTATTTAGTTTAACATGAGCATGTAGACAACCTTCACAAATTAATCAAAAGAGAATGAGCAAAACACAACATATATTGACTGTTTCCCATGACTATTTGTCAAAATATGATGCTTGTGAAGACAAAATAGCTTTTAAAATATTAATATTGACACCCAGCTGTATACTTTGTGTAATCTACGAGCTAGAACCTAATCTAACATCTAGTTTATTTTTTAAATTGCACTGCGTGAAATATTCCTCTCTTGTGTTTCTTTATCATCTGTTTTGATGATAATAATGTTAAAAAAGATCTTACTGAAGTTTATGCTGTTGGTAAAAACATTATTTTGTATTTAAATAAGCATGATTCCAGTAATGATGGTTGAATCAGTGTTTAAAGATAGATGGTATTTGCTTTGGACTGCATTTCTGTGCTAGATCAGTGTGTCTGTTCTCTTGTTCTCTTTTTATGTGCTCAGACAAACAAAGGAAGGCTTCCACATGACAATTGTGATTGCACCTCAGTCGCATTCTGTTAAAAAAACATTTAAAATAAGATCATTTCTTAATGTTTATTTCCAAAAAAGAGGGCAAACAGTATACTTTCAGCCTGGTTAAAAATACTGTTCCATTTGTGCTTGCAGACCAAACATTTTCATTAATATGATATTCAAAGTCAGCAAAAAGCTGCAGATCTCATGAGTAATCAATTTAACATTTACTTTTTTTGCACAAAACAGTCGGATTTCCATTTTACAAATTTAGATCCAGAAGTTAATGAAATTTTGCTGTAGGGATCATAGGAGGCATACAGGCATATAGGCACAGATTAATTAAAACTGATTGCGTCATTACTCTGGAAGTTAGCTGTAAGGATGTTTTGAACCCCAAAGCAATTCTGAACGTGTGATTTCAACTAGAAGCTAAACCTCCTAAAGTCCATTGGGCTTTAATAGTGGGCTTTAATATTTCTGCCAGCTGCAATAATAAAAAAGAAGAGGGTCTCTCAAGACAGAACAGATACAACTAGTGGCAAAATGTATAGCTCTGGAAACTACAATGCAATTCTGAAGGGACAAGAGACTGTAGTGCAGTATTGTGCAGTATCTGCTTGACTGTAATTGGATGTTGAACTCGACTTGAATCCAAATGTTATTTAACAACTGTGACATCTTCATAAATGTTACTGAGAGACGGTGTGCATAAGAAATCGTTAAGAAGATAATACCAATGTGCCACATGTGATAAATGTACCAGAATGCTACTCTATTATTCATCTCTACAATAGCAGTAAATGGTCAATTAAAGAACCAATATTGCTATAACTTCAACATAAGAATGTGCATAAGAATTAAACTTATGGTTGACAGCCTTTATGAGTGCAGGAAAAATGTGTTGCTGAGGTCATGTTTCTATAGTAAAGACATTTGGCATAACAGTAATAAGCTTCAGGCGATCTTAATAGAGTCTTAACTGCAGTTTGGGAGGGATGATGACAACCAAGTCAATTTCACTCCAGCTGTTCCTAATCATAATATTTCTCAATACTTTTTCTTAAAGCTACTCATATCATACACAAACCTCTCTCTTTCCCATCTCTCTTCACGCATCCTTGCCCAGCCCACCTGTGCCGCTGTCCCTTGGTTCACTCCTTGCTCTGCATGGGGGCCCCGGCCCCCTCGTCCTCTGGCCAGGGGGCTGGCCCTCAGACACAAAAATGAAACCAAACCTCTTTAAACCTAAACACTCAATACACATCCTCAAATGCATCTATTTCTTGAGTGTTGTGCCTCATGAAATATGTTGAGGGTTATTAACATCTTATATCAAAATTATGTCGACTGCTAATGTCTACCAACTGGCTCACAACTCACTGGAGCCGTAAATTCAGATGCTGAAAACGTATCTTGAATGTCACAAAACAAATGGCTGTACTCCACTGCTGTTTATCTAAAAACAGTATAATTAGCAGCTGTAGATATAAAATTATGATTCATATTCTGTAAGTGATATGTTACAGAAACCTATTTATTTTCTGATCATAAATGGTGTTATTTAATAGACATTCAGGAGGAACATTAATGATAATCTTGTACTTCTACTCTCCTACATTCTACATTCTACTTCAACGCTCCCCTGCAACTTATGCACTCTTAACTTAAGAGGTTGGCTCCGGAAAATAAAAAATATTGAAAAAAATGCTAAAAAACACATCAAGTAAGCCTATGAGAACTAGTTAGTGAGCCTATACATTTGTCTTATTTACTTTTATTTACTGTTTTCATACTTGTATTTTCTATATTGTATTACCATAAAAGGTTAGTAGGGGGTTTTATAAGGGTTATAAGGTAAAATTTGACTATACACGAATTTGTCTTTATGTGCTATTCAAAATCCCTAACCCTTGCATAAGTTGTGTCCTTGTAAGTCAGCTGTTCTCACCAACTGCCCACAACTCTCTGCACATCTTTTCTAGCTCTCCTCCCTTCATCCCAACTTCACTTACACAGCTGCCTCCCTGTTTCATTCCTCATAATCAAGGGAGGCTGTGACAGCTCTTTTTTCCTCAACCAGGAATATTAACACCAGAGTATTAAGTATGCTATATTTATATGCTATGTTTGTTTATATGTGTTGTTTCATTCCTTATTAGAATTTGACCAAACTAATGACTATTAAGTTTAAGGAACTCAAACCCCATTTTGTATGCATACAATTCATGATATAGGGACAGTTACCT